ACAGCTAAACAGAAGCTGTAAAAGGCTGAACCAGCCTAAAACGGCTAAGGAGAAGCTGTCAAAGGCTGAGTGAACCTGAGCTGAACATAAGTTAAACACACAGAAACAAACGTCAGTTAAACATTTAGTCTTCTCTTCCAGCTGCACAGAGTTAACGTTTAAGACGAGTTGAAGACATGAAAAATCTGAATCAGATGGTGATAGCTGAATGTCTTATGAATTGCTTAAAAGTTGATCTGACTTTCTAGGTGGGAGTTCGCTGAAGTGGTGACAGTTCAAAAATTAATAAGACGTTGAAGGATTTCATGGAATCCTAATGTATTTTCAATGAGACACAAAAACTGCTGAAAACGCTATTTCAAACAGTTTAAAATATATAAATACAAAGTCAGAGCAGGAGCGTCCTGAACGAGCTGAACATTTTCATACCTTTAATTGCTGAAATAGCTTAAAAATTGTGGGACGCCAAAAACGCACAAAAGACACTTGAACAGATCCCAATAATAAAGAGAAACAGGAGAACAGCTTGTTGTGTTAATCTTGTAGATTAGGTGTAGCCACCTGTTCATTGTTGTCAGGGTTCCCCGTCATGTAGTCATACTTTTCATTCATCTGTTTTGAAAACCTCATTAAATGCATCTCACTTCATGGTTCATTTGACAGGTTCTTAGAGAGTCACTGGTTTGTGTGGGTAACTCAGATGAACCATCTGCCGATGGAGATCGAGTACGAGAGGCAGCAGGACTGGCTGACCATGCAGGTGCCTACTTTATCATGAAGTATCATCATGCCGCAGAGACTACTGTAGAAGTGCTGCTGTTTCAAAGGGAAAATATTTAGTTGCTCTTTTTTTTATTAAAATGTTTTGCAGCATATAAATCACTGAGTATGATGTCAGTGATAGAACGGTGTTTTTCATGTTTTTTTTAATTTATCATAACACATTTAATCTAATCTCTTTAAGCTGATGAATGTAGGTTAATTTTCAATAATTGTATTTATTTATTTATTTCTAAAACCAGTCCAGCGTGATGTGAGACGCCTCACTCTGAGTATGACACGCTGATGTTCGTATTAACGTGTCTTTGTTTGGTTCTTGTTTCAGTTGCAGTCCACGTGCAACATTGAGCAGTCCTTCTTCAACGACTGGTTCAGCGGACACCTCAACTTTCAAATCGAGCACCAGTAAGTGTGATGATGACAATTAAAGCATGTCATTCTGGTTAACTAACAAAACACGTCCGGCATAGCTATGCAAATAAAACTGGACCAAAATAGGACAACAGAAGCAAGTTAACTTCTTACTAAATCACTTTTTTGTTGTTGAGCTTTTCACAAGAATATTGTCAAGTATTTACAAGAGGAATGACAAAAATAATCACGTAATAATAATAATAATAATACATCTTATTTGGTAGTGCCTTCCAAGACACCCAAGGACACTTCACAACATTAAAAACACAAAATAAAACCATATAAAATGGCTATAAAAACACTAATCCAAGAAGAAAATAACAATAAATTAAAGTGAGAACTTGAACAGATGAGTTTTGAGTTGTGATTTGAAGGTTTGAATGGAGTCAATATTACGGATGTACGGGGGAAGAGCGTTCCAGTGTTGGGGGGGCAGAGTGCGAAAAGGCTCTGTGTCCCGTGGTGCTGAGACGGACGAGAGGCACGTTGAGGTGGATGGAAGAGGAAGAACGACGAGAGCGTGAATGGGTGATAATGTGATGGGACAGATAGGGAGGGGCGAGGTTACGGATGGCATTGAATGTGTACAACAGGATTTTAAATTGAATTCTGAAAGAGACTGGAAGCCAGTGAAGTTGCTGTAAAACTGGGGTGATGTGGCGAAATGAGGGGGTTTGGTAACGATGCGGGCAGCTGAATTTTGAACCATTTGAAGCTTATGGAGTAATTTTTGCGGCAGACCAAAAAGAAGAGAGTTGCAGTAATCAATTCGAGAAATGACCAAACTATGGACCAGGATGGAAACGGAGCGCGGGGAGAGGGATGGACAGAGACGGTTGATGTTTCGAAGGTGGAAGTTTGCAGACCGGGTAATATTTTTGATGTGAGAGTGAAAAGAGAGAGTGCTGTCAAGAATGACACCCAGGCTCTTAATGTGAGGGGAGGGAGAAACCATGGCACTGTCAATGGTGAGGGAAAAACTGTTGACTTTAGATATGGTGGATTTAGTGCCGATGAGTAGAAACTCTGTTTTATCACTGTTTAATTTAAGGAAGTTAGGAGAAGTGAAGTGAAGGAGGAAGCAGGTTCAGGAGAGACACCCAGACATCCCACTTCCCTTGATGCTCCCTGGCTCCTCCTGGGGGAGCCCAAGGTGTTCCCAGGAAGCCCACCACCCCGTCCAGGTTGATGTGTGGGCAAATGAGCTTCAGGATTATTTGAGACTTTCCTGCCAGTTCTGTGAGCTTCATAGCATAGATTTACTTTGTAAAACTTTACCTGCATTTCAGCAGAAAGCAGCGGCCGGGAGCACTGTTGGCTTCTGGGTAGTGTAGTTCTTTTGACTGGCTTTACAGTATAGGCTTATTGAAAGAAAACTACAAAAAAGCGGAGCCTGTCCGAAGTTGTTATTTTTTCTGTTAACTTTTTATCCCGTACTGTCCCAATCACATGAGTAATATTAAAGTTGACAATCGTTGAAAAAAACTGTGAAAGTCGAACTGTGACGTAGCGAGGGACTACTGTGTATATATAATGCCTGCAGGAATTTCTGTCTCTGCTCTGGAGCGTCTTCCCAGTGGGATGTGCCCTGAAAACCTGTGGGTGTCCAGGAGACAAGATGGAGCAGCAGCTTCTAACAGAGACTTAAGATCTCGTTCTTTCCGTTGTGCCATAATTGAAGATCATAGGTGAGGATTGGGACGTAGATCAAGAGCTTCACCTTTCCACTCAGCTCCTTCTTCACCAGAGCCAGAGGAAGCTCTGATCCACTGGGCCATCCTGTTGTCTCTTGTGGACAAGACTCTTCAGATCTTCACTGCTTAAGGCTAGAAACTCCTCCTCAAACCAGCGGGAGCGTTCTGAAAAAAACCTGATTGTATACATCCAGTCTTAAATCCTAAAAATAAATCCCGTCACTGTGGGAGGACTGACCGTTGAACCCAAACAGGTTCTGGCTGTGGTGTGTGAATATATCTACAAAACAAATCCAAGACGTTGGAGACTCCATCGGTATTTGTTTAAGATCTCCTAAAATAAAACTCAAAATGCTCGTTTGTTTTTTCTCCAGTTTGTTTCCCAGGATGCCACGGCACAACTACCACCTGGTGGCTCGGCGGGTCAGAGAACTGTGCGAGAAACACAAGGTTCCTTACCAGGTGAAAACGCTGTGGAGAGGAATGGTTGATGTTGTCAGGTAAAACAATCTCCTGCTTATCGTAACAACCAGAGATAAACACAAACGGACAGTTGTGTTTAAAATGTCTGTCCTGTGAGTCTTTTGTATTAACTCCTTTCTTCTTGTTTCTTTCTCAGGTCACTGAAAACTTCAGGCGACCTTTGGCTCGATGCGTATCTCCACAAATAAGAAACCGTTTGCAAACTAAGAGTTGTGTTTTATTCCGTCCTCATCAAAAACTAAACCGGCTGATAACAATGGACTCGTTTTTAACTTCTGTCGTTGTTAAAGTGGAAAAAAAAAAAGCCTTGATCTTTAGGGTGCAAAGCATTTTTGAATGTCAGCTGTGATGTAGTGACGTTTTAAGTGATTTGAATAAAAATAAACGACTGTGAATAATTTAAAATGTTTAATCCTTTTCTGCCTTGTAAGCTGCACAGTAAGATGTATCAAACAGATGTAAAGACTAAATAAACCCTGAATTAAAATGTTAGCTTTTTTCTGTTAAACATCATTGCAGCTCTTCGTTTGTTCTTTAAGCGTGTTGTGTATTGCCAGAACTTTAGTTATTTACAACGACTCTTTGTCAGCTGCTGCAGCTAGTTGCAGCAACTTTATAAAGCAACTTTTGCATAAAACTGTTGCAACCTAATGTAGTTCGTATCTTATGAGGCGGGGTGCTGTGGACAAGTTATAAACAATATCTTACCTGTAGGAGGTAGCACTTTGAAAGACCGTGAAATGGAAAAACTGGACCCTCTAAATCAGGGGTGTCAAACTAGTTTCACCGAGGGACAAATCAGAATAATGGTTGCCCTCAAAGATGTGACTGTAAGACAGTGTAAATGTAGCTAAATTTAACTAAATGTAAAATAAACAACTACCACTTAATGTTAAATAACTCTGAATTATTTACTTATTCGACTCACAAAAATTACACATTTATTTGCATAGATGTAGAAAAATGTGTCTGCTGTTATAACATAAAACCTTTTAATTTGCCAGGTTATGAAACCCACACTACTCCATAAGTCAATGATCAAACTTTTCAAGTGAATAAGGAAAAATAACAAGTTATGACATTAACTTTGCTCAAAACTTTTTTGTCATGGTTAAGAGGGGCAGAACGGTCCAACCAACAATTGTGAGCTGTAAGATGTGACAGGTGGAGCAAAAACAAATGGCTGCACACAGCAAGGGTCAAACATCCAACTAATGACAGATGGTTTTATTATAGAAAACATTTGCCTGGATAACAATCCCAAATACATTGCTGCAAATTTAACATAATAAAAGACATTTAATAAGTATAATAAACTCAAAATAACATTAGGGTTGAAGACTCACTTTGACACTTAGCTTCGTGTTTGGTGTCAAAATGCTGACGTACAGTAAATTGTATTTGACGACCGCTAACACAAAAGACAGCGGTTTCTCTCCTTGAAGCACAAACATATCTTCACCTTCACATCTTTCTTGAAACAGCTTCCATCTGCATCAATTCTTCTCTTCCTGGACATTTTGGGATCATTGTTTGTATTTCTCAGTTCCACTTGTTTGGAAAATGATATTGATGTGGAAAAACTGCAATATAGATGTGGGATGCTGTTACTTCATGGGTAGCATAATCGACATGCATTATGGGAAATATAGTTTGCTGTCAGTGCACCCTTTTGACTTATTTATTGTATGACAATTAGACCTTTTAAGCTCTCGCGGGCCACATAAAATGATGTGGCGGGCCACATCTGGCCCATGGGCCTTGAGTTTAAAACGTGCTCTAAATGCTCTTTAACTTTAAGACAATAACTTCCTGGGTGGGGGAGGATTCATCACCTTATATAACTGATATATATATATA